GTCTGAATACATAACATCCCTACGCGAGAGACATTTAAATCAAATCAAAGGTGTTAAATCAAACTCAGTTAAAGTTGGTGACATTGTGTTAATCAATGATGATGTGCGAAAGCGAATTCATTGGCATATGGCTAAGGTGACCAAATTGCTGACGGGCGCTGATGGTATAACACGTGCAGTTGAAAAACCAAATACGGTTCAACGAATCGTGCCATTTCACGATTGTATCCCTTAGAATTATCGGCAGAATCTTCGGACAAATCACCGGACCAGACTGAAAACAAAATACCTGAACAATCATCGCTCACCGATAATATCACACAATCACCAATTAACAATTCACGTCCAAAGAGAGTATCAGCAGAACATGCAAACAGAAGGATTACCCAGCTATATGAAGATGATCTGGTGTGAAAGCTGATAAATATACTTTTATAAACGTTTCACTCCTGTACAGTGATATTTTATTCAGCGTCTCTTTTCAGAGTCACACTTCCATTATTGTTGTTGTTAATTAGTTTATTGAATTTTTTAAACTTTTAACTTTGAGGTTTATTAACCATTTCTATTGTTAAACCCACTATGCTTATATATTGCTTTAGAAGGCAACTTTTGCCTACCGCCAGTATATCGTTGAAACCATAATAAGCCATAGGTGTTGACTGACATGCCATTATTGATTCAGAACGCAGTCACTGATTGGTTAATCTTGTCTGCGTGGAAAACGCCGTAATGTTCTATTTCACTTTTAAAGTTGGACGGTAGTTGTGTTCCAGTTTGTTGGTTCGTGCTCAACTGTGGGTTGAGTATTTATCAGTTCGTTGAAGAGTTTCGTTCGCAAATAAATGCAGTTCATGTTATCAATTGATTTGTGAGAGTTTAAGTTCAAGTTCCGCTGAAATCCTACTCAAGTTGGAATGTGGCCAACCAAACCCAACCACATATTTGGTGCAGAGACCAGGATTGCTAACTAGGATTTCTCCGGAAAGTTCATCGATTATTTCTGCGAATCTACTCACGACGACTGCATATTATAAAACTGAAGGCACTACTGGTAATTTAGACATCAATGATTGTCCAATCATGGGTATTAGTGGATTCACAGCAGATATACCTGCAGATATGGATTAACCGCAGACATGGATAAACTGCAGATACTGTATGGATTAACCACAGATATGGATTTATAACCACAGTTTGTGTTGAAAACTTGTGAACATCATCCTGCATGTGTATTAACTTTTTATCAGTGAACTTTGTCATTTTTAGAGTGAATATCTTTAAAGTGCCTGTGCAATGCCCACCCTCACGTTTCCCATTTTAGATCTGTATCCCACTGAAATGGGCAGATATTGATTTTTTTGCTGAAAATGATTACTCGTATCCAAGTAAATTTGGGATATTTCTTGTGTTGTAGCCACGCCCACCTATCCTGAAACAGTCGACTGTTTCCGGATTTCCGACTCTCGCCGAAAGTGCGCCACCAAATGCCAAAATGTGAGAGGAAGACATACCCCTGAGCTGTAATAACACAGGTCATTCAGTATACTTTTAAACGATATACATTTTTCAGTCGGCGTTTTTTTTTCTTTTTTTTTTTTTCTATTTTCTTTTTTTTTTTTTGAGAGAGAGAGAGTTTTTAGATGTTGTGTTGTGGGGAGTTGCAGTGAAACGTATGGTCATAGTGTAAGTATTCACACGTTTCTAATCGATCCGAAAGTGCGACATCA